TAATCGCCTGGAGCGACAGAAGACTGGAGGCGGGCCTCCACCTGCTGCGTTGAGCGTAGCAGAAGAAAGGATTGTTGATGCGATGCAGGACACCGCATCATTTATTGGAGTCCCTGGTGGACAGGAGTCTGCTGTTATTCAGCTTGATGGTATGTTTATAATGTTCAAAATTGTCTGGAAATGTCACATAATGTAATGATTAAACACATATATTTTTTGTTTAGTATGTTCAAAATCTCCAAGTAACTTTGCAATCATTTCAGTAAATAGGAAAAGTTCTGTCATCTACTGTACACAATTAATTAACATGCCAAATACCAAAATCATCTCCGTTGTTTTCTGTGTAACATACAGCATATTTATTTCTCATCATTTCCTCGATCTATAACAATGTTAACTGTGGACATTTTCGTCATAATTTCGTTAAATTTCCCCGACAGTAGATCCTACTTTAGCAGAAGATGTAAACACATCCGTAACAGATGGATCGGTGCAAATTTTACAATTTATGTCTAATAAAGTAATTATTTTAATGTAAACAGAAACTTCTAGCTGTTAATAACAGATTTTGGTGTGTTTTTTCACTCGCCACCAGCAATGATCTACTGATGTATACAAACGAATAGGGTTCTCTATTCTATTCAGAACTAAACTGTCGTCTGCTGCCATATTGAAGCGTCTGTGACAACAATAGTCACGTGGTATCGGCCATCAAAATCTAAATATAGCATGGTAATCATTTCAAAATAATATGCATTCAAGACAAAATGTTCGAAGGTTAAATTATACCTATCCACTGTATTTGCCAATTTGACATACCTGTAACAACATGTGAGAGTATGTCATTCCTGTAAAATGACTTGTCTGTTTAAAGAACATTCTGCATACCATCCACGAGGTAGAGCAGACATTTTGAAGTGCCCCTTAAGGCCATGCAAATCATACTCTCAACAACGAAAACAGTTTATTATATGCATACGTAACGACTGCTGGCTTTTTCCTGTTACACAGGCATAAATAAATTGAAAAGATGTGTTTATGTTGATGTATGATAAGGTACGATTATCATATGAGTAATAAATATAATGTTATTTTGTAGAGACTAGAGCTATAGTCTGTTTCATATTTACACTCCCTTGTACATTTTGTAAGAGTTATCTTTCTTTGTGCCTGAACAGTTCATAACAGCAGTGCAACCAGCATAGAGAGGTCCTGGGATGAAGCCATCAGGAGGATTACAGAACATCCTCCTGGTCAGTTGTTTGCTGATGATGCAGAGGACGTTGCAGCAACACCAGAGGCAGCAGCATCCTCTGCATCATCACTAGGACAAAAAAGGTAAATAAATCTAGCTGCTAGAATATAATGCATCTGTTGTAAAAATGAATATTCAACTTCAGTGAACATTTATACACATACATGATTGTATATAACTCATAAGTGCAATCTTTTGTGTACAAACTTTGATTAGTATATTACATGGATCATTTTTCTTAAACATTGTCTTGACTGACTTGTTGCTTATTTGCAATTTTGATTATTGTATATAACTTTGATGCGAAATTGGGCATGCAGTATATATTTGTCAATCAGTATTCTGACCTTATATATGAAAATTGGCCAATGTAACCATACATATGAAATAAAATATTTCTCCTGAAATTCTACCTTGATTGGTAAAGTGATATGTGAAATGTTAGAATGCCACGGACAAAAACATTAAATCATTATCATGCATTTGCATATATTTACATGTAGGTATTTACCTTTATATTCTATAGGTTACATGTACATTTAAAGATTATTATTAAAATGTAACTGCATCTTTTTGATCACTTTCAACCTTTGAGGATTAAACTTTAAATGGTGTGTATCTTAAATTGTGTTTTTCTATTTTATGTAAGTAATTTTACCTAAGAATTTGGCATTAGCATAAGTGTGTGTTAAATTCAGTTTTACATTCCATTTATCACAGATGCCGAACAAAAGAGGTGCAGGCCACAGACAGACAGAAGAGGAAGAAAACTGCTGAAGATGTGTATACAATTCAGCATGCCTACTTTGAGAGGGAGATGGTTAAGACCGATCTACAGATCACCCTTTTAAAGAAAATTCTTGAAAATTTTGAAGGTCAGCAAGACACTGTCAGCCTTCTAGCTGCTTTGTCTCATTAGCTGAATATTGCTTACATGCTAATGATACAAAACAGACAGAATGCTGTAAACCTTGTCTGATCATTGTAGTTATCCCTTGCTCAGCATTAGTTAAAATTATCAGAGGTCTATATGTAAATAATTGATGTACGTCTTATAGTGAAATATTGCAAAAGGTCTATGTAGACTTACTGATATTTTTCAATGTAATATTGATGTCTTGTAGATCTGATATTTGGCTGAAAGGTTCCTAGGATGAAGCCTGACAAAGTATGTGAAAAGAAATGACCTTGACTCATATTCTAGGTCATAGGGTTAAATTTGTAAAAACCTTTAAACAACTTCTTCTGCATGCCCAAGAGGCCTAGGATAATGATATTTAGTCAATAGCATGCTAAGATAAAGGGCTACCAAGTTTGTTCAAACAAATGGCCTTCTCCCATGTTCAAGGTCACAGGGGACAAATATGTTTAAATCTTTAAATGACTTGTTCTGAATATTCAAAAGGTTCAGTGTAATGATATTTGGCCAGAAGCATGCTGGGTCGGAAGGCTATAAACACTGTTCAACTTAATGTCTTTGTTCGACTGTCAATGTCACAGGCATCATTTGTTTAAATAATTAAACAAATTATAATGTATCGAACACAGATATTTTGTAACTGTAGCTGTATATTAGTCCACTTTTAAGATTACAAGTGTGAGAATAATACCAGGTGAGCGATTCAGGCCCATTGGGCCTCCTGTAATATTAAAAGTATGTATAATATCATGATTTATCTGTTGAGCGAGGGATATCTATGACAAAATTTTCTTTTAGCCATTTCCCTTTCAAAGTAGGCATAGATATATGTCTCAATTTTGTCTCCTATCATTGGTTTTCAAATAAAATTTCAAATAATTCAAAATTTTACCTATCTTTATGGTATATCTATTAACTACATATCCATATCTGACATTATCCAAATGTTAACCATATGACCATTTTCATATCCTACTCGATCCATATCAGCCCACGAACTACTTGCCCATTGGGCTGATATTGGAGTCTGGCTTGTATACAGTAGGATATGAAAATGTTCATATGATAACCTCTAAATAATCTTCTATACTTTTTCACCTGTAGTTTGTCAGGGGCATATCTTCTATACTATTTCATCCTCTAATAACCAGATTTCAGAAAATTCAGAAAACTAAGAGATCAGCAAAGGTTTGTTGTACTACCAATGGAGACCTTATTGAGGCTAATATTTATAACTATTTAATTGACTTAATTCATGTATATAAATTTGTTGAAAATTGTATTGTTAAAGATTATTTGAATGTAAATTATGTTTATACTTATTAGCCCACCATCATTACAGTATGGG